GAGAACAATTTCTCGATACTTAGAAAACGCGAGAACAAAAGGGCTTTATCACAATTCCTAAATGGCGGACAATTCGGAAACGGCTTAGGCCCTAGCCCGGGGAGCCTTCACTCTACTCGAAACTCTAATCGCGACCGGGACTTTCCTTTTCCTCTTTTGATTTCACCCGGCGGATTCTCTACCCCCCAAGAACGCGATTCGGTTGCTCGCCCGCGCGGGACGCGGAGAGGCCGCCCTCGCGACTATCCCTCCGGCCGCCGGCACGAGACTTATGCCCGATTTCCCCAAAAAGCTGCTCGCCTGCCCGATTCTTTCCTTTCGCCGGCACGAGACTTACGCCACACGATCCTCCGGGCGCGAACTGAAGTCGCTTAATAACCCGGGCTATTACTTTATCCGCAAAACAGAGAATCCGCGACCAAAAAGAGAAAGGAAAGCTTTCACCCGAAACTACGTCGCGACCGATGCCAGAAAATCCGATAACCCGCGAGGGACTCTAATTCACGAAAAGGGGCTCCCCGCGCACTCAGAAAACGGGCACTTACTTTAAATTGGCCTTTTTTGCCGCCGCTCGCCGGCTACCTCGGTGCCTCCACCTCGCTCCTCCCAGGGATGGTGGTTCGGGGCTGCGACGTGGCTTCCTCTGGTCTCAGAAAAGGTGTAGAAAATGCCAGAAAACAGGAAATGCGATGTGTCCGGTCCGATGGTCCGTGGGCGAAGAAGGTCGGAGCGTTCAGTGTCCGGCTGGTTATAGGCGTATAGGGTTCCGGGCGATCACTCCAGAATCCTTATCCCGATCGATGATTGGTCTAGGCGCTCCGCTGTCGCCGAAATCTCCAAAGTCGTCGCGCACCGCGCTGCGCTAATTGGCGCTTGATGGATGGCGCGTTCGGGGTGGGGTGGTGGTGGCAGGGACGGCGGGGCGCGTGGCGCGCGCGCCTCTCGTGCGCTACGCGTTCCTAGAGGCAGGCCCGTATTTGATGGTGGGTCCGTCGGGGCCCTTGGCGCGTCGCTTTCTCTCTAAGCGTCCGCCTGGAATTTTCTTCCGGGGTACCCCGGTCCACCCGGGCACACCTCCGCAAGCCCGGGTCTCTCGGCGACGACCGGTCGGGCTCCTGGCCCGGAAGTCCGGCGTCCTGGGCGCCGGGCAATTAAGGGCCCGGCCCTTTGTGCCCGCCCCCTGTCGCCGTAACTTGGCCGCGAGCGGGCGTTCCCAGGACGCGGCATCCCAGGACGCGTCCGGGTAGTCCTGTAATTCCTGCGGGCGGCCCACCTTTCGCCGCCAGGGCTAACCAAGGGCCCGCCCCCGCAGGCAGGGCCGCCAGGGTGGCGAAGATGGGGTCGGCCGGTTCCCCTCATAGGGCCCGACGTTCGGTCCTGTCCTCTTCGGTTTGGTACGTCCCTGCGCAGGCGTCGTCTTCCTCCTCGACGCGGCTCTCGTAGCGGCGAGCGACGACAAAGCCACGACCTCTACGCGGTCGACGCTGTTGTCGTACCGGTTGCTAACCGAGTTAGCGTAGCTACAATCCTTTCCCGAATATTCGCTGGAATATTCTTTGAATATGCCAGGCAATATTCGAGAGCACAAAATTATGTTTGATTTTTCCTTTAGAAAACGAGAATTAATTTCCAGAAACGGTAAAAGTGCGTATCCCGAGCGGCGCCTCTCGGGGATTCGCCATCGCAAAAGTAAGAGCTGAAAAAAAAAGGTTCAGAACAAATTATCTTATCGCAACGTTTCCCCGCAAATCGGGGACCGTCGAACCAGAAATGCTCCGAAGTCCCGAAAAAGGGCTAAATGGCCCTCAGCCAAACATGTGACCGGGTGGCCCAAAATCCACACGTCACAATATATATAATAATACAAGTCATGTCGGAAACACCGATATCTAATTAGTTAGCATGATATTACAATGTACTTAAAATCCAAACGATAAATAATTGGAACGTACAAATCGAACTGCAATACCAAAATTGGACGGGAGGCTTCTAGGAGACCTCTAACCCTAGGGCACGTCACGGGACGAAGGTGTTCACGCACAGTCATCCGACCGGGTCGATCAAAAGAGACTGTCACCGATTAACAACCCGCTGAACAAGCCAGGTAGAGGATCCTTCGCAAGCTCGATTCATCCTCATTTTCATTCTAGTTTATTTATTAACTCTTCATCTTCGACCAAAACCGAATTCTAACCATTATCGCGATTTCCATGCCTTGCTCCGGTTAACCGGATAGGTTAAGAATCCATCGACTTCCATTAAACAGCTGAGCTCGAATCTCAGCATCGCGAAATAGAATCACGCGCAGACCGCNAACCATTACTCTACATTATTCTACAATGCCAATATTTATAAAAATGTATTTATTAAATAATTATAATCTTAAAAAATGGTATTAATAGTAACCGCTTCGTTTGCGGAATCTGATCGCATGGTGCAGAGTTCGTGGTTTCGGGAATTTACGATTTGAAAGTAACAGACTGAGGGTCAACGGGGCGAGGGAGGTGTTAATCAACAATAAGTGATTGTCGAGCCGAGATCGAGCAGATTCAAGACACTTTGGAAGTGTCATCGGTCAGGAGGTAACGGGGCAGGGGGGTTTATCGATATGAAGCGAACACCGCGTAGAGACCGATTTATGCTTTGACGAGATGTTACTGTTGACAACGTGGTAAACCATCACCTGACAATAAATGTGGCAACATTGTAAAGTGACGATCGCTATAGTCGATAATGTAGACTGATTTGCAAAAAAGTTCATGTAATTTCGGAAAAAGGAGCAACGATCGATTTAGCCCAAGCCAAGCTTTTGTATCAAGGTCCCTTAAAATATCATATTGAATTATCGAAAAATGTTGTGTAGAACAGTGTTGCAAACTCCAAGCCCGTAAATTATAATACAGTCGGGCCAAAATTACAGTATAATCCGGACAATTATAGTGTACCTTATAAAGTTCGAATATTTTCATAAAATGTTCACCGGTACTTAAAAAAAAAAAACGAAAAGGATGGAAGGGGATCTAATTTAATGCAGCGGGGCTGCAATGAGAGGCGTGACGTCAAGATCGGGAACCAATGAGAACAAACCATCGTTTCTGATGATAAGTATGAATAATTCCAATTGGTCCACTGTTCACGCGTAACAAACGCAAACTGCCTACTCAAATGGCTGACGGCCGGTCAAATCACTGTCGTTGATTATGATAAGATTTCTTCTCAAATAATAGTATAATTCGCGTATTATTATTGTTTGAAAAAAGGATAGTATACTGGACAAAATAATAGTACAAACACTATAATTATAGTACGGTTGGCAATACTGGCACAGGATTTACTTTGAATAACTTGAATGGATGAAATCACAATCTTCCGAAAATATAATTTTTACTGCAGAACCAGACTTCTAAATTACTTGTCAAAAAAAATACAAATAATGAGTAAAAATCCGTACTAGTAGCCCACGACTTTATAACGGCGGTCCAACATAGTCTATATCGTTACTTATTTAACGCTCACAGCACTGTTACAGAGAATCACTAGTGAAAATCAAAAATAGAACTACGCAGGGAAAGTTAGCCACTTGTCAACTTCACACTCTATTACTGGGGACTTCCGTTGAATAGCTTCCATTATTTTTGGGTGCAAAGATGTGAAGCTGTCAACGAGGACATTTCCCTCTCATAAAACTTCAACAAATTTCCACCACAAACGCTAGCTGTGACGTTATGCGATGTAGAAGATGCACAATGAGCGACTGGCAGACACAGCCAGTTACATGACCGTACTTATCGGGGCCCTTGTAGAATTTCCCATTTGATGAAATACGTATACGCATCACGAAAATTCACAGAACTTATAAATATCGAGTCTTTTGTTGTGTAGCGCAAGAGATATCTGTTTTCTTATGAATTTTTTTTATTAATAAAGTCTTTATTTCATGTGAAGTATGAAATTTGTATTGAGGTCCGGCGCCCGATGACTCCAACATTTGACGTTACTGGGATAGGGCTGCTTGATATCGCGGAGCCGTGACATCCACGGCACGGTACAACAGCGATTACGTCACAAGTGTTGTCATTGTTTGTCGTTAGGTGGCAGCACGGTCCACTTGAACTGTTTTGAATCGTACCATTCCTCCTTAAGGTACAGTGAAACACGTCAAGGAACTTGGACGTCGGTAAAATAGATTTTTCTAAATACCTACATTGCCAACGTTTATTTTTATACTGACAGCTGTGTCGAATTATATTGGGTATTGTACTAAATGGCATACTGCACCTGTCGTTTTCGTACAATAATTATAAAGAAATCGAAGTAAAACTCTAGAAATCCTCTAGATTCATGTTTTCCGAGGCCCTAATTGACGGCAGAGGGACCTCTGGCGCCATCTGTGATTTCCATGTCAACTAAATTTTCACTCCGAGACCTCGTATTACCATCGTTTTAGCATACCAGCGCGTAAGACACTTTTTTTTCCTTTATCCCGTTCAAATGCGAGTTTATCTATTATCAAAGTGTTCTAAATTGTTGTACAATTATCCTGACACTTTCGTTTCTCATATTAGAGCCTTCAATAATTGTACATTGATCGAAATATGAGAACTCGATGCTATTTTGGTTCTAGTCTGGGCTAAGTAAACAATTTTTTAAAAAAATCCAAATTTTGAAAGTGCCAGAACAATTTCTAGGTGCTCATAAGTCATGTGTTAACAAGTTAAGCGCGGCGTCAGTCTCTGAGAAGTGACATTGAACTTTCCGTCTAGGCGGCGTCAGTCCCTGGGGACTGACCCGGCATCAAGAATCCTATATATAAAAAATTATGCCGCCTAAACGGAAAGCTCAGCAAAATCGGACCCGCACTTAACGTGTACAGTTTCAGACGGTGCGATCCAATACCCTTAAAAAAAAAGTGTTTTATTAGAATCGACTGATTTGAGGACAATTTCACTTTACCTCAATATGTGATTCAACGTAATTTATTACGAAAGTAATCCGTTATTGTCAAATTCTGCATGGAACATTATAAAAATTAAATGAATAAGCGCTTAGTTAAATACAATAAACAAAGTAATAATTTTGTATGGCAACGAGTGATTCACAATTTATATCTTAATGCGTATACATATATTTCATTTCAACATTTAAGTGACAAAAGAAAACTGCTGATCATCTGTTTAATCAGTTTAATTATAATAATAATCAATCTAATAATATTCTACTCAATGACAATGTAAACTGTACTTTATATATAAAAAAATAAAATGGTATGGAACAAATTAATGCATAAGTATCTCCATTTGAACAAGTCTACTATTCGTTTCATTAGGCATTCGGTAAGGAAGAGTTCCTGCGAAGCTGGTTAAAGCCCTGGCATGCTCCCGAAGATCGAGTAGTTGCTGTTCTCGAGCAATTTCATCTCCAGGCTCTGAAGCTCTCAATTTTTGGTACTGCTGATAAAGAATAGTCATTGTCGCTAACAGAACATCAGCCAGTGTACCAATGATTTCAGGAGAAACTCGACGAAGAGCAGTTACGCGTTCATCCACTTCCTTTACTTGGAGAGGGAGCAATTTCGAATCGCCGATTATCTGAAAATGAAATTAAGTAAATGAATAGTAATATGTATGTAGGACATTTTTATTTAATTTGATAAGAAAACATGTTAATGAATGGTTCATTTTAATGGTTTCTGATAATATAGTTTTGTTTTATCACATTTAGAAGTAAAGAGAAGCTTTTGTGTACACAAAGGAAAGTTTCTGCACATCTCTTTTTTGTTTTTCTCAAATATTACAGGTGGATATAGGGGTTGTGCTTACGAAATTCGTAATCTAATATTGTTATGAAAAATTGTTGTTATGTCCAATGTAGTACAATTGAAAACATACATATTAATGTTGGCAATGTAGCGTGTTAACTTATTATACTACTAGAGTATCCAAAATGGCGTTACTGCCTAAAACGGTACAGATGCATTTTATTTTATCGACAACGATTACATTTTCCAGTGCCTTAAATATCACCTTAAGATGATATGAAAGGCGCCGAGATATTTAATCTACGTCGATAAACTAAAATTCATCTATACCCTTTTTGGTAGTAATGTCATTTTGAATACTCAGGTGGTAATATAAGTTGGTGCGTCTCGTTACCGACATTTGTATTTATGTTGAAGTCTTTTACAGTCTATGTTGAGAATTGTATGAACTGAAGTGTTCCATACGTCATTTTCGTAAAGTAGTGATAAAACGATCGCTGTTAAACTGTCGAAATCCCGTTGATTCATGACCGTTTATATTTTGACGGATCAACGTCGCCATCTGTGATGTTTAGCTGCAACTACATTTTTCCTCTAAAACGCCTGTTAGCCATGGAACAAGCCGGCATTCTCTTTCAATCGTCGGTGAAAGTATTTTTCATATTTTCCCATCTCACTGTATAATACTCCCTCTCTACTGCATTCTAAATTCTTCGACCTAGGTCCTGAAATTCTTCATTTTCGATTCTAAGCCTCTAAGAAGCGTAAAACATCGAAAACGTGCGCGGATCACGCCATATTGGTTTGAGTCCATGATAAATAAATTTTGTGTGAAAAATGAAATTTCATGAATTTCAGGACCTACTTTAGGGCCTCCATATTCACGGGGTAAAACTTGAAACGAATCAATGCACGTAATTCGGACATTACTTTCACGAAAGATTGGATCTCTCAGATATATACAGGCTGACTCTTTCATATCAACTTAAGGTAGACAGTGTTTAATGTTCAACTTGTTCTTTATCGATCAAATATTTATGTAAAGCCCGCGTTATCTCTAGTAGTAGATGCCAGGGCGCATGGGGTGCCACCCCGGCGGGCATAACTGCAGGACGGTGGCGACACCGCGGTGCCGTTTTAGCTTGGGTGTGTGTGTACACACCAAATATATTATGGGGGGGGGCGATGACGTCACGACGATGTTAGGATAGGCATTGATCTGATCCTACAATTATTTTTGTAGTAATTATTATTATAAGTTTGTTTCTGAAATAAATATTAACCCATTCGCTAACAGCGACGCGTCAGGTGATACAACACGTGACATAAAAAAATTCAAGTAATTTATTAAAATTCGCAGCAATTAATGATTTAGATCATTCTGAGCATTTTTATTATTCTTGCACAAGGAATTATTTAGATTCGGGTTGCCAACAACTGATCTAGGGATGGGCCTTTGGACGAAACTGTTGTCGCGGGAGGTTCAATTGAATTCCGTATTACTTTAATATTATATTTTATTGCTTAAATTTTAACGTAAGTACTTACTCGTAAAGCACTTTGATGTTGTTCGTTGTGAAATTGATCGAAGAAGACCATTAAGTCCCGCAATGTATAAAAGGTTGCTACGGATTCGGCAGTCGCTTGTATCGCCACACCCTGATACCTAAAAAGAAATGAAACAGTTGTTACATGCAAAATTAATTCACACTTTATGTATCAGTACAACTGACACCAGTTAACAAAAACACTATCAGTATATATAAAAACCTGACTATATTTTTATCGAATTTTTTATTCGACACATTGATGTAATTTATTCTTATATTTACACAATGCGAATAATTTTAGTACAAAAATAGCAATAAACAAAAATATAATTCTTACATTCAGCAATTAAATTATAATGCTTTTGAATAGAGAATCGAAATAATGTAAATGTATATTTTAGGCATTTAATATTCAAAAAATCTTAGAAACTTATTCTTAAAACGGGATGCTCGTTTGCATAAAAATATCAAGAAACTCGTAGCGTTGAGCGATGCGAGAAACGCGCCCTGCGCGTTGAGTTCGAGCGAGACGCTACAGAGTTATCAAGAAACTCGTAGCGTTGAGCGATGCGAGAAACGCGCCCTGCGCGTTGAGTTCGAGCGACACGCTACAGAGTTATATACAGTAAGGATCAGGATTTCGGGAGTGGGGGAAATGAAAATATAATTTCGTCTTTGCTACAGATAAAGAAATAAACTTTCGATCAACTTAAAAAATTCAGTAAAAAATCAGGAATTTTTTAAAATTTACCCGACTCTGATTGCTGCTATGTACGTAAAGATATGGCACGATAAAGTTTTCGCCACTCTCAGAATCGTTGTTCTCATATCGTCATCGTCGTCCCTCCAGTCACGAACTACCATTTTCGCACTCACATGATAGGTCAACCCTCATACGACTTTTTGTACGACATTCGATGGCGCCCCTCGCGGAATGATAATGAACTGCG